CTTCCGTTCTGTACCAAAACCAACACATGTCACTCCAAAATACATTTCCCTTCAGAACGACTGCTTTCCCTCCCATCTGCGTTGAATTCACTAACATAAAAGGACTAAAATGCATGCAATTAATTGACTAAAATTCCTTCAGGTTCCTGGAACTCAGCCTCAGTGTGTCACCAATGCAGGGGGGGATTCAGAGCCTGTCGTGTTCCTCCCCACCCCCAGTATGACTTTTCTGGATCTACAGGTAGATGGTTACTCTTAGTCTTCCGTCTTTCTGCTTTCCCCCTTTCCACTTAATTTTTGTTCCTCCTTTTTAGTCAGGGAGTCAAAGCTGCAGGTATTAAAAAACCAGCTCCAGGAGCAACTGTATAAATATTTATGCACCGGATCGGTGCATATTTATGTCCTTCCCTCATTTCCAGTCACTCTTTATTCAGCTGTGAGCATCAACACGTGAGCAACGCAGCAGAACAAAATGGAAAAACCACACGGAGCTTTGGAAGATGTCTCTTTCTCATACGACCCTGAGGGTCCCCGACTGAGCCTTTCCGCTTCTCCATTTCCCAGAGCGGCACTAGAGGGCGCTGGGGGGCTAAGGGGAAAAGGGTCGGTCCTGACACTCCGGTCCCCAAGACACACGTCCCACTCTGTGGCTTGTGAAAAATGCAAACATTTGGTGTTGACAGAAAAATAAAAGCTGGCTTCTCTCCCTGCAACACCAAATGGCGAATGCTACCGAGCCCACAGCAAACGTGAGAGACACACACACACACACACCCGGTAATGTGTGAATGCTGCACAGAAACTGCACGGTTTACCTTGGAGGTATTACTAGCCTCTTTTTCCCCAGAAGGGTAACATGAATAAGTGTAAGCATGCAGGCAGAACGGGCCACGGAGAAGTCTGATCTCCCTCTCCACTGGAGGGAGAAACGGGGAAGGGCCCGTGGGGAGGGGTCAGGGAACGCACCGCAGGCCACCTGTGGTCCAAGCTGGGAGGCACCCCATAATCGGGGGGGGCGAGACCCTTCCCCTGCTTGGGCCACCAGCTGTCCCCAGGACCCACACGCGACTTACTTTGCTCTGAGGTTACTCAACTGATTCCTCACTAAACCCACGTATTGGTCAATCTGTGTCTAGGGAAAAGAAGACAGAAAGGAGACTCGTTAAGATAAATCAGTCGAAAACATAATTAGGAAATCCAGGTAGTAAGCCGTCTGGTCTGCCCTCCTGCCCAAAAAAACCACTCATTCTATATGTTTGGAGAAGAAAGCAAAGCGAAGCGAAGTGTATGGGTGTTCATACATCGCTCAGTTCATACTGGAGAGGGAAATGACTTTTGGACTGAATGCAGAAGCATTTACATAATTGGAATTATTTTTAAAAGCATGAGATTTAGAGATGTGCAGGACTGTGGTTTTGAACTACAGTTTCCAGAATTCCTCGGGCAGCATGAGAGTTGTAGTCTGTACACCTCCTGACTTGTAGGTCAGGTACACTTTCTGTTGAGGGAACAACAAGCAAATATGTGGGGCACAGATGTGGGGGTCCATAGCATCAGAGATGGCTGGGACCCCGGCTCCTTTTCATGTCTTAGGAAGTAAGCCCCCCCTCCCAAATTCCAGTTTCCTCCCCTCCTCCTTCCAGGCACCTACCTGATGTTGCCGATAAAGCAGTGGGAAGGTAAATGCACTTATCACACCTGGAGGAGGAGGAGAAAGAGAGGGGGGGAATAAGAGGCAGAACCCTGTGCCCATAGCTCCGGCCACCCCTTTCATTACCTACCGGGAGGACATTTCAGTTGGGATAATTTGGGTGAAATGTAAATTTTAAGAAGACAGCCCATCTCTCCCTCTGCCCTGGTGCTGCCCACTTCAACCTGTCCTTCAAAGACCAACTCCCATGAATCTTCTGACTTAAAACTGCTCTCCTTTTGTTCTCCTCCTGAAAGTATAGCAATGCTGCAAGGGACGGTTCTGCTCTGAAGCATGGTATGCTTTTAAACAGATGCTGTGGATGGCACTTGTGCCATGAGCACTGGAAATCCAGCAGGCAGAACTATTCGTTGGAGCACCAGCTAAAGCTTCACCGGTGACACTTTTGCCTGCAAGAGGAACCTTCCAGGCTCAGAAGACTTAGCGAGCAGCTCCCCAGCCTCATCTCCCCATTCCACAGAGGCAACGCAGGGCTTGCATGAGGCTCTGGCCATTGTGTGTGCCATGTGCCCAAGGGAAGGGGATAAGTCCTCAAAGACTACCTCCTCGGGCTTCTCCTGGGCTACAGGGGACTGACAGTCGTCCCGGCACCAGGCGAGCCAACTCAGTGGGCGTTGCTGAGAGGCAAGAGGGATGAAAGAGTCTCCCTCTCTCACTTTCTCTGGACTACAATCTCCAGAATCCTGAGTAGGCCAGGCATGCACATTTCAACCCCTGCTTCTGCGCCCTGATCCACCCAGCATCCTAGGTGGCTCACAGGGACTGAATGGTTCCTGCTTCAGGGCTGCTCCACATGGCCTGAGAAACAACCCCCTCCTCCTCCTCCCCCTCCTCCCCCTTCCAGGACCCTCACCTTACCCAGTATAAGCAAGGTCAGTCCATTGAAGACGGCTCCCACGTAGGTGAGGATGTAGAAGAAGAAAGCAAACTGCATATGGGCAGAGGAAACAGGGGTGGGGAGAGGAAAGGTGTAAGGTGGCGTGCCTTGCACTGGGTCCCTTCTCACTGAGTAGAACGACATTCAGAAAGTCTGCAGGTCAGCTGGAGGAGCTACAGAAACACGTCCCCTCCTTGTCCCTTCAGCACCCGAAGAAGAGGTTCTCTCCCACCAGGGACCTCAGCAAGCCTAGCCTCCAGTCCCCACCACGGCAGGAAATGGGTGGAGCGACAGCAGCAGAGTGACCCAGTCTTGGGCAGGATCTGACCCTCTGGGCACTTGCTCATGGTGGAGCGCAGGCGGTCTGCAGGCCATCCCCGAAAGACTCTCAACAGTCACCCAGTGTTATTTTTGAAGCCTCAATGCTTGCTAGGACAGGCCATGCATTCCCACCTGGGAAAGTTGACGCTGTAATAATAGACTATCTAGAAGGTATTCTTATACTATTATTTAACTGTATACTCTTGTGGCAGTGGTGTTGCTAGTGAGATGGAACTGCCTGCTTCTTCTGAGCCCTCCTGATTCCAACAGGTATGGAATCACATAATTTTAGAGCTGGAAGGGACCTTAATCCAACCACTTATTCAGCGCAGGAGTCTTGCGAATGGGATAACCAGGAGAGGCAATCCCCCAGCCTCATCTCCGAGACTTCCATGGGATGAAAGAGAAGCCCCCACCTCCCAAGGCAGTCCGTGCTGCTGCCAAAGCAGGTATTACGGTCCTCCAGATCCCAGCGAAACCTCCCTATCCCACAGCCGTTGAACGGACGTCCTGCTCCAAGGGGGTACCTCAGGCCCACGTGCGGCGCACTCACCTTAATGGACTCCACCATGTCATACACCAAAAAGAGACGCTGGAGGGACTTTGTCCCCGACGTGACGTAGAACACCACCCGCTCCGTCAGGTGCTCCAGCTGCTCTTTCGACAGCCCAAAGTCGGCATCCAGCTGGGCCCTGGCAACGGGAGCGGGGAAAGGCAACGTGACCCACACAGCCGGCTAGGGCAGGGCCTCCAACCCGGGAGGTGCCTGACTCCCAGGAGGGCTGCAAAGGCACATCCGATGCCACGGCGGCTCTTGCGGAGAGGGGCCGGCACGGTGGCTGGGTCTCTCGGCAGTAGGGCTGGGCATCCCTGGCTCTTTATGCAGTGGTGGGGACAGACGTCTTGGGTCAAGCAAGGCTCAAGAAGGAAGAAGGCGGGTTTCTCTGCCCAGGGCGATTCCAAAGTTTGGGGGGTCCCACCTGAGCGTGGGGAGGGGAGAGGAGGGTCTCAAGTTTTGGCCCTGAAATGCCACGGCTTGGGCTGCTGTTGACTGGGCAGTGCTAGCCATACGTCTGGGGAGTGAGGCAAAGCAGTGGGGCCGGGGGCCTATAGGGGAATGGCGGGGTATGACACAGAGAGACCCTCTTCTTGGGCTCCTGCTCATTTCAGTGAGCCCGGATGGGAGAGCCTCCCTGTGCTGGATTTCACCCAACCCGAAGGGTGCCGGAAGGATTCCTCTCTTCCACCCCAAATCTCCCGCAGCTCCCTGGAAGGGGCTTACTCACTGGAAGGGGTTGTGACCCTCTCCCCGATGAATGGCCAGGAGCACTTTGCTGTAAACCCTGAGAGCAATGGTGACCGTGAGAGCAGCCAGGGAGACATAGGAGACCACACTGATGATGCTGAAGTGGAGCAGGCACAGCAGGGCCACCATGAAGACGGTGAAGACGCAGGCCGATTTGCGGGTGTCCCGCCAATATACCAAGTCTGCCACTGCAGGGAGAACAGAGAGAGGGGGGGAAAGAGGGAGGGATCTATTAGAGTTATCTGGAAAATGGGGAACATGGGACCTACAGATGGCACAGAGAGAGCAAGAAACATTCCTGGTGAGTCACAAGCATGTGTTACTGGCTGGTCTGTGACATAACATGTGGCCTGTGAAGCACTTGCTCTGATACGGGCTTCTGGTCCCTGGACATGATCACAGACATTCCCACCCTGCCTTTACACAAAGCAAGGCAGGCCAGCGAGGTTTCAGACCGACCCACAAGGAACTGGCCGGCTTTCCCAGCAAGTCGGCAGTTCTCCTGCGCTAAGGTGCGCATCCTTCTGGTGCTCTGTGAAACTTTACCACCCCCAGCCACTTTTCAAAACCCTTCCCTCCCTGCAGCCCTAAAGTTCCCTGTGTTTGGCCTTTTCTGCTTGAAGAATTTAAGTGTCTATGAACATTCTGTGACGTCACGGCAATCAGAAGTCTAGGCTTGGTCGCACGAGCAGGCGACGGGTGATAGCCAGTTTTCATCCTGCTGTTGTTGTTATGCACTGCCATGGTGGAACCCACTTACCTAGACCCTCACAGGGCTTTCACAGGAAGTGAGAAATTCAAAGAGTGGTTTCACCAGTTCTACACACCCAATGAGCCTCCATGGCTGAGTGGGGATTTGAATCCAGGCCTCCTGAGTCCTAGTCCAGCACTCTATCCACTACAGTCACCTAGGATGCTGCTGCTGCTGTTGTTGTTGTAAATCACTGTTACTTTTAAATTGTTTTATTTACTTGCTTTCAGCCACCCAGATGGGCCGGGTATAAGTAGAATAAGTAGAATGAATAAATAAATAAATAAATAAAATAAATAAATAAATAAATAAATAAATAAATAAATAAATAAATAAATAATGCACCACACAAGGTAAACCTACTTTTAAAAAAATCCTACTCAGTGTAAAATATCTATTTTGGCTAAACATGTTCCAATTTACACTTAAAGTGTGTGTGTGTGTGTGTGTGTGTGTGTGTGTGAAAGAGAAAGAGAGTTTAAATTGATTATTTCATGTTCATAATAGTAAAGTAATAATAAATACATTCCAACGTGATGTAATTTTTCTTGTACATTTTCTTCTTGTTTGCTTTTGCTCCGAAAACAGTCTGCAAGGGACCCTTCCCAAGCAGTAAGATGACCGGCGCGCCTCTTACGCCCCTCCCCACCCCAGTCATCTCATCACCCGTGATTCCCTTCGCAAAATGTTTGCTGGGAGACAAACCTGAGATTCACTGCCAAAGGCTGTGAAGTTTCCATTAAAGGCAATCTTGGTGGAAATCCGCCCGTTCGTTCCACAGACCGGAGGAGGGCTCTTCCCTCGAGTCTGGAGCCCTGCTAGGATGCTGGGTGGGAAATGGTCTCTTTTTTTCCTTCCTTCTCTTTTCTTAAAAGGGGGAGCTTGGCCCCTTCAGTGGCCCCGAGTGCGGCGCAGGGGGATCCTCTTCCACCCTCCTCTCCCTGGACGGCTGAGTCAACTCACTGGCTTCCGCCCAGCCTTCCTTGAGACACGAGGCGCTCTCTTGGGACGGAGCTTCCAGGACCCCTCGGGCCGGTGGTTCCCAGCTGTGGGTCCCCAGATGTTCTTGGACTACAGCTCCCAGAAGCCTTCACCGCTAGCTGGGCTGGCTAGGACCTCTGGGAGTTGTGGTCCAAGAACGTTTGGGGACTCGAGGCTGGGAACCCCTGTCAGCTGCTCTGGGGCAGGTCTGGAAGCTGTAGTCCAAAAAAGTAACTTTTCCAGGCAGACCCTCCAGCCTCCCTTGGTCCCTCACTTGCATATAGAAGTATATCCTTGTACTGTACTTGTTTGTGACAAGAGAAATGCTCTGCACGTGCTCAGGGGCACTCTTTGTGATTATTTATTCCCCACGTTCCATGGGAGAGACACCAGTCAAGGCTTGCCAAGAAATCTATGGCTGGAACTCGGGCTGCCCGACCCAACCCCCATGACACTCAGGGCCAGCGGCACCAGGGAAACCCCTTGGCCTCCCCCCACGCCCACTGGGGGTGGATTGGAGCATCCCTGCCCACCCCTGGGAGGAACGCCCAGCCGCCCGGCAAGTCCCTCCCGGGAGTTGGCCCCCACCATTTCTGGAGCAGAGGAGGGGATGGAAAAAGAGAGGCCAGGGAGCCAAAGGCCCCCCCCTGGCTGCAGCTGTCAGGGGCCTCCCCTCCCCCAAGCCCCATAACTGACAGGTCCATATGCCAAGCAGGCAAGTCAGCGAATAGAAGGAGGCAGGAGCCTATGGCGTTGGGTGGGGCAAAACCTTCAGACTTTTTTTGGGGGGGGCCTCATTCATTTACCACCAGGGCCATGCCCCCAACCCTGTATGTTCCCTTCTCAAAGGGCATATTCCCTCCCCCCCCCAATACAATGCACTCACATCTTCGATAGCTATTTGCAAGTCCTAAGATCTCGGTTCCATGTGCCTCTGGCAGCCCCACCATCAAACCTCCAGTGGAGGCTCAAAGTAGCCACTGGCCCCAAGGTGGGTCAAGGCTTGGCTGCCCTGCCCAGGCCAGCCTAGCCCCCTCCTCTGCCAACTTTCTCCACCTCCCGTCTTTCACACCCCACCCCCAGCAACGTCCTCTTTGGACCATTTCATAAAGGAGGGAAGGAAGCCCACCTGTGTTAGCCATGATGGCCCCGTTCCTTCCTTCCTTCCTTCCTGGTTCCGACGGTCCCTGGGTGCGAGCCTGTAATGGTCCAGCCGAACCTCCCCACAAACGCAAGGGTGCCTGCCTGGCTGGAGGAGGGATGCCCAGTCATTGGGGGGGGGAGGACAAGGAAGCCCACATCAGGGAGAGCGCAGGCGTGGCGGGTGGCGGGTGGGAGGAGAGGAGGCTATTAATAGCTGACAAATCCCAGCTGCCCTCTCCTGTCACAGCATCTCCCGTGGCCGGTTGCTGCCCCCCCTTCCTCCTCCAGGGTGAGGGGGTGCAGACAGGCGGTGGAGGCTGAGCGAAGGCAGCGCTTGGCCTCCCCTTGCTGGGAAGGAAAGAGCCCACACGGGGGGGGGGAAGGGGGGAGGAACCATTTGGAAAACAGGCCATGAGAGGCTTCGGTTTTAGCCCCCAAAGGTTGGAAGAAAATTTAAGTGGAGTCAGGCGTTAGCCAGGACCCTCTTTCAGGTGCCTTCACCGTAGCCACTGGAAACAATTCGGCAAAGCCCAGAGAAACCAAACCAAACAGGGGAAAAAAAAGGACAGACACATGTGGCACCTTAAAGACTAGCTCTCACAAAGTCCACAAAAGCTCACATTAAAATAGCATCTTTAGTTAGTCTTTAAGGTGCCACACGTGTCTGGCTTTTTTTCCCCCTGCTTTGTTTTGGTTCCTCTGGGCTTTGCTGGATATGCTGGCACAGGCTAACACGGCGACCTCTTCTAAAACGACCGACTTATAACAACAGATTCTTAGCCATGGCAAGTACAGAGGCACCTTGCAAAAGACTGGCTGAAGGAAGGACTTCTCGGCTTTCCTGAGTTTCAGGAGAGCTTCAACCGAGGCACAGCTCAGGGAAGTGGACACCCTTCGCTTCCTCAATGGATCTGACAGAAGGAGCCTTTCCAGCTGCCTCGGCATTGCCTGTTTTGCAAACAGCTGGAGAAATCATGGATAGAGTGCCTCTGAGCGCATATAAAGTGCATTCTCTTCTCGAGCTCAGGGGCCCCATAGACCAGATGGAGCAGAGCACGACCACCATGGGTTCTGTTTGGAAAGCACCTCTGCCAAGCTCTAGTTTACATCCCAAAATAAGCACTGAAAGGGGAGAGCTGCGGAGACCGCTCTCCTTGGAACCCTGCTGGTGCTCCTTCCAGGGGGTGAGGGCAGCTTTGCATCAGGAAGGAGCTGCAAACCCGGGCCCTTGCGTGATGGGATGGGAAGGGAGAGGGAGACATACAGGGCCCCCTCTTAGGTCAAAATCCCCCCCCCACAACTCCACTGGTGGTGGAGAGGGGGCCGTCTTTGAGAGGCGAACACAGAAGACCCTCTTGGCTCCTGTTTGTGCTGCTCTCAGCAAACGGCTATTTATACCCGCTGACTCAACTTGGCCGCAATTCTGCTCTGGGCCTGCTGCCAGGGCAGTGAGTGGCGAGGTTTCCTGGATGAAGGAGGCCTGGATAGGCCGGGGTAAAGAAGCTGAGCAGATGGAGAACAGGAGCACAAGCCCTGGAACAGGATGAGGCCAACAGCTTCTCTAGTTCAGCTTTCTGTATGTACAGGATGGCCAACAGGATTCCCTCTGTGAAGCCTAGCGCTTTCAAGTTCCTCTTTCCCCCTCACTAGTCTTAGAAGTTTCTTGTTCAGCAGAATCCCTTTCAATGTATTCTCAAAGGCTTTCATGGCCAGGATCCGATGGTCGTTGTAGGCTTTTTGGGCTGTTTGCCAGAACACAGACAGAGTTCTGACTCCTGTCCTCTGAAGATGCCGGCCACAGAGACTGGAGAAACATTAGGAAGAAAAACTGCCAGAACATGGCCAAAGAGCCCGAAAAACCTACAACAACCATCAGAATCCTTTTCCTTTAATTTTGGGGCCAGATCCTGAAACCTAGGGGCAGGCCCCGGAAGGTGTGGGGGGGGGAGAGAGAGAGAGAGGCAGAAAGGTAGGCAGACAATGTAAAGGCTCTGTGAAGAATTTGAAGGCCATTCAGTGAATCCTGGCAGCAGCAGTTCCTGAGCACGCGATAAGGAAAAAGGCAGGGGGGCGTCTGTGCCTGTCTAAACGTCACATGCTCAAGCCATGAGGATGGAGATTCAGGATGGAAAAATTCCATTTCCTAGGATTTTAGGCCAAAAAGCTTACAGAGCAGAATATGTGGGTAGACGTGACTGAGGTTCCAAGGGGCCTGTTAAAAAATCATAAATATGGGGGCAGCGATCCTGGGAGACCCCTATTGACCCCCTGTATTTCTAGGCCAGCAGGAGGAGAATTTGTTTGCTCGCTGATCTTTGCATTCGTCAATTCGTTCAAGAACTTCCAAACAGCCGGGTACATCAACACCCCCACCCCCACCCCCTCTGTCCTTGGCTCACCTGTATCAAACATTTCCAGCATGTTTCCTGATTGGTCCGGCTCAATTTGATGCTGCTGTGTGACTGGCTCCTGGTCCAGGCCCTCCTCGTCTTCATGAGCCTCCTCCATCATTTCTTCCAGGGCTAGGTGTTGGGAGCTCAGAGCCTCCTCCGGTGTGTATGGTGCTTGGCGTTGGATGGGCTCAGCACCACAAGGGCATCCCTCCTCAGGTGGGGGTGCTAAGGCGTCAGGTGGTGGGAGGTCCTCCAGGGAAGTATCTAGAGCAGAGGGGACTTTGCTGTGGATTAAGTCATCCAGAACCACCCTAAATTCCTTGGTTTCTGATCCCTGCTTTCTTACACAAAAACACTACCATTTCTTAAAAAAAAAATCAGAAGCACCACTGAAGTGTTTATACAGTTAATATTTGCCTGCAGGGTAAGGGAGGAAGGAGGTTTCAAGATTTAGATACTGAACATTTTCAGTACATGAGATTTGGCAGGGTGCGGGGCTCTCCTTAGAGAAGGATTGATTTATACAAACTATTAACTACTTCACAATATGGGTTAGGAGCCCCACTTCCTCCATACTGAAACTCTGGAGAAGAGCCACAGCCAAGCACTCCTTAAATACCTAGGCTGTGGTTATATAGTGGTGCCTTGCTTAACGATTGCCCCACATTACGACGAATCCGCTTTATGATGATCTTTGGTCTAAATGGGGGAATTTCTCTTAGCGATGATCAGTTCCCTGGTTGGGGAACCGATTTTCGCTTTACGACAATCAAAAACAGCTGAAGACATTTCAATAGAGATCTGGAAGTACAAAATCTCAGCATTTCATAAACTTCAGAAATCCCCACTGGATTTCACCTTTCAGCACATTCCCCCAATTTGAAACTGGTTGCTTTTCCTTTTCACAAGCTATGTAAGACCCAGGTGCTACTTGCTTTGGGAAAGAGGAAGAAAGAAAAGACAAGGGTCACGTTTTGCCGTCACCTTTACAAGCTGCCTCCCTCTTTGAAATATTTCATGACAAGGCAGCTACTTCAAAAGAGGCCCCCTCCATACCTGAGGATGATGCTCTGGAGTTGCTACTGCTGCTCCATTCTGCTTCTAAGGTCGGTCTGACAAGGCGGGGACAAGGAGCATCTGCCGCCGCCTCCTCCCCTTCCGCTCCCTCTGGTTCGTCGATGTAGCCCGTAGGGACCCCCCAGCCTGTGAAGGGGTCCAGTCCATGGCCGTGGCCTGGAGGGGGAGCCCCCTCTCCCTCCGGGGAAGGGCAGAGGCTGGGAATGTTCTCCAAACTGTCCCCCAGGGCGGGCACAAAAGTCTCACAGGTCTCCGTACGGGGCAGAGGAGCCCGAGCCCGGCGGGTCTGAGAGTCTCGCCTGCCCCGAGGGCCATGATCCCCCAAAGTGGGGCTGCTGTTGGGGGGTGCCGCGATGGTGATGTAGGAGAAGGTCAGCTCCCGCGGCGTCCCCCACTCCACGGAGGCCTCCTCTTCATCCTCTGAGAACTCCCGCGCCGTCTGCAGCTCGGGAAAGTCTGACTCATCGTTCCCACCTGGGGCAGAAGAAGGCCAAGGCTGAAGCTTATGGGGTGGGCACCGCCGGGTCCTCTCTGCCTTGTCACCCCCCTCTCCCCCCCATCTATCAGAGGTGACCCTCGATGTGAAAAAAAATTCAAGTAGACTTCAGCTCAGTGGACAATGAGTGCAGAGGTGGGGAGCTTCAGGTTGGCGCCAGGTCTGAATAGGTTCTTGGGCAAGGAATATAAATATAACAGAGGAATTTGGGTGCTGGAAGAGTACCGCCCTTCCCAGAATCCTGTTTCCTTCTCAGGAAAAGCCAGTGGATTCTGGGAGGTGTACTCCAGAAAAGGAACTTCTCCAAGTTCGGCGAGGATGTACACCTGAACATAAGGTATACGGGTTTCCTTCCCTGCAAGGAAGTGCTGGTGGCACTCATTTCATAGGAGTTCTGGACGCATCCAAGCTTCTAGCCAAATTTCACAAGAGCCTATTTGGGGCAGTAGAGATTTCAGCACCTTGGAGAGCACTTGTAAATTCACAGAGCAGATGCTACCCCCCTCCCAATAAAGGGGCTTTGCCTTATTTTTTGTGTTAAAGGGCTCTGAGATCTGGATTTCCTGGAGAGAGGATAGAACCCCTGGAAAGAACAACATAGCTACCAAATCCCAGCCATGCAAGCTTGCAGCCTTTGCCAGCCACTCTTCACCAGCCGCGGTGGCTACTCACCATCTGTAGAGTCTGGTGTGGTGGAGGCAGTAGAAGGAGATTCTTCTGCAAGAAACAGAGGGACAGCCTTAGATCCCTGAATCGCATAAGCACACATGGACAAGTGGAGTCACCTGCAGGACTTCAAGATCAAAAGAAAGCACCCAATGGTCATCCTCCAACATTTATCCACCAGTTGATGCCTTTCTGTGTTCTGTGGCAGACTCATGAGGTGGCCTCATCAGCCCGGCCTTTCTCTTTCTGTCTCAATGCCTCCATCTGCATCACGGGGATAATAGGACTGGCCCTACCTCACAGGGTTATTGGGAGGGAAAAAAATGTCCAATTCCTTGGAAGAATGGGGGTGTCATATAAAACAAAATAAATATGGAGTCACATCATTTAAGCATTATCATCATCATTTAAGCACTAAGCTGAAGGCTCACTCATGAGGACTAGTTATGTGTTTCACCTGTGAATGCAGACAAGCTGATGCTTTTGGCTTCTCACATGCGCATGCATGCACCAGCATACATTTCAAGGCGGGATCTCCAGTCATCCTGCCTGTGACTGAAGTCTTATGATTTGAAAGTGCAGCAGCATGTAATGCATCGCCTGGAGTTGTGCCATGACTGCTGTAGGTCAATAAACCATACCCTGCAGTCATTCGGATGGGGCCCTGCCTAGCAAGCATCAAAACTGTCAGGAAGACAGAGAGGGAATGCCAGAGTTGAGCTGGCCTGGAATAACTGCGGACCCATCTGGCACTATTGATCCTTTACCCACCCACTGGAGGCACCAAGATGGTAGGGGTTTTGACCTGGAAAAGGCATTTGGAAGAGGAGTTCAAATCAAATTATACTCCTTGAGCCTAAAGGCTTACAGCAACAGCTCAGTTTTTCCTTCTGCCGTTCCATGGTTTAATTACCAAAGTGAAGGAATACACGGTACTTTATTTAATGTATCAATGCAGCATGCTTTGCCTTACATTGAACCAAAGGATAGGCCCCTGCCCCAAGGAGCCTACAGGAAAGGATGATACATGGAGCTGGCAGAACAAAGTGGAATGTGAAGGGAATGGAGGTTAGAAAGTAAGAAGGAGGAAAAGGTCGTTTATTTTTATTGCACATGGTTAAGCTCAGTTATAGTTAAGTACTGTATAGGGTTTGGGGTCAAAAGGACAGCACCATATATATGCCTTCAAGAATCCTGGAAGCTATCCTGTTGCCAAGTTCCAGGACAGCGCCTTCAGTTGTAAGCAAAAGCACTTCCATCATCTCCTAAGAAAGCGAGTGTTAAATACCAGGGTCAAAATGTGTAACGCCACCAGGTTTTATTGCCTTTTTAATGCCTCTTATTGGCAGAGGCAAGGTTTTGGTCTCTCCACTTCTCCTCCATTCCAACTAACTTTTAAAGACCTCACTTTCTTCTCCCCAGAGAGGGTTACTGGCACGAGAAGAGAAGTCCTCTCACAGGGCCTGGGCAAAGTCACAGTTGTTGTTGTTATGATGGTGGTGGTGGTTCTGTTGTGGTGATGGTAGTGGCCAGCGCCCAAAACCCCCCAGCCAGACTCTGAGAGGCACAGGCCCCCCAAAAATAACAATTCCAAAGCTCCACGTATGCTTAGTCAGACCCAAGCCCCAACAGAATTTAATAATATAGTAGCAATAACCTTAGAACGGCAGAGCTGGAAGGGACCTTCTGCATGACTGAGTCCAGCCCCTATCAAGGAGGTGCATGTATGTGTGGGGGGGAATCAAACTCCCAACCTCTGGCTCTGCAGCCAGAGACTCAAACCATGGGGCTCTCCAGCAGTTCCGCTCTGTGATAAGACGATGGTGTCAATGGACTTCCTTCCATTCCACGTCCAGCAAAATGCTGTACAAAACATGATCCCTGCACTCACAACCTGACACTAACAACCTGCTGCCACATGTACGTGACTCCCAGGATGCTTCCTCTCCAACCCCCCCCCACTTCCTTTTTTTAAAGAATGGGAAGGCTGAGAAAACCTCACATGGTGGTGGAGATAAACTCGGGGGGGGGGAGGAGGTTTCCCTGTGTTTGTTTTGCTCACTATCTGTCTGTCTGTCTGTCTGTCTGCGTGTTTTTTGCCAGAAGATCAGTTCGGGAAGATGGTGAAGCAAGAATGAACCAACCAACCCAGCCCTTCCTGGCTGCACACAGATTGCACAGCGCCAGGATGATTCTCCATCAGAGCTCAGCACAGGTAACATCATAACACACCTATGGGACAAAGGGAAGAATCCCCCCATCGCCAGTGGGGAAGGAGTGCTCTCTTGTTTACAAACAAACCTCTGGAGGTCCAGCTAAGGGGAAATGCAAGGAAGGTCAGTAGATAGATGGATGGTGGGTTTTTTTTTTAACATTCTGGGGCATCCATTTGAAACCACGGACATCCAGGCCCACCACTGCAAAGTGGAACGAGGGACACTGGACTCTGCCCCATACTGGGTGAGGCCCTGGGCTGCTAGCTGGGCCCAGTGGCCTTTAACAGGCTATCGTGTCCCTATTTCTGAGTCAGGATCCTTTCCCAGTTGACCCTACCTGAAAGGTCTTGGAACTCCTTGGATGGTCTTCCATGCATGGACCAACCAGGCCTAACTCTGCTTAGCTGCCAGAATCAGACCGGACCAGGTATGTGCCAGCTGGTAGGGAGGCTATCATCCCTCTCTGACCCCGGAGACCATTAGTGGTCTCACCAACACCATCTCCCCGTTAAAAAGCTATTGAATGGTGTGTGTGTGTGTGTTTGTGTGTTTGTGTGTGTGAGTGTGTGTGTGTGTGTGTGTGTTTGGCCCTCTGCCCTGCTTAGCACGGATTTTTTAGGAAAGGGACTCAGATCAGGGGAGAAAAGGGAGGAGTGGATGTTTCCGTAAAGAGAGAGAGCGAGAGCGAGCGCGCG